TAATCTTTTTTTTGTTCTGTTGTGAGAGGCTTGGTTCATTAGCTGGCTCTGTGCTTGGTAAGTTCGGTGTGTGAGTGTTAGAAAGAACTGTAGAAGAAGGAAGTTACAACAGTTATATCTTCCTGAGCTCCGAAAGTTATTATTAGAGCATCAGATCCTTCAACAAGTGAGCTATGAGGAGCAGGGGAGCTCATTATAAAAAATCNAACATCAGGGTTGCATATAGATAATTCTTCTAACTTATCATTTCTCTTGACCACTTGGGAAGAAGCGTCTTAGTATATCGGATTTCTTGAGAATTTTTGAACTTTTGAAAATAATCCCGCGCGCGCCCCCCCCCCCCCCCCCCCCCGAGACGAACGCCACACCAACTATTTTTTAATATTTTTTATCTTTTGAAAAGATCCCCCCCCCCCCCCCCCCCCCCCCTTGTATAGCAGCAGAGGACTCTCTCCAATTGTTCTTAACTGTCATTATGCTCCTCTAGTAGCTGCCCCCTCACAGTTTCGATAACGATTAACTTATTGCGATGCTAATGTTGTTTCTTGAACCAATTCTCTATAGGAGGTAACTGGCCCTGTAGGTCAGGGAATTTTCATTAGAACTGATTCTTGTCTCATATTCGCGTTGTTTCCTTCCCTTCGAAGATTTCTGTGTTGTTTCATAGCCTTGTCTATTTTCAAGCGTTTAAAATTGTGAAGTGTCAGATAGTTTGTAATCAATATTTATAATATGATTTGGTTTATCGGAATTCTTGAAAATACTCCCGCGCGCCACCTTGTCTTGAATAGCAGCGCAGGCTTCTCTCCAATTGTTCGTAACTGTTATTATGCTCCTCTAGTAGCTGCCCCCTTACAGTTTTGATGACGATTAACCTATTACGATGCTAATGTTGTTTCTTGAATCAGTTCTCTATATGAGCTAACAGGCCCTGTAGCTCGAGGACTTTCTCATTGTCATATCTGCGTTATTCTCTCCCCATAGAAGATTTTTTTTTCAGCTTTGTTCGTTACTAATTGTTTCTTATGTTCAAATTCATTTAATTTTGGTTTCTCTTTGTACAATCCAACCAATTTGATGTTTCCAGTACTTGCTATGCCATCTTAATCTACCATTGCTATCAATTGACATTGGTGGCTACGAAGTGATCATAACATCAACAACGGATGTTCACGGGCACCGTTTTCTCAGGTTTTTCATAGAATTAGGAGAAGATAGTAAATGGTTTATTCAAGACAAAGAAAGTACAACTGCAACAGAGGAGGAGGATTCCCCCCTAATGTACTCGGAGGCTACAGAGGGCCAAGTATGTTAGGGGAAGAGGAGGGGAAGGCTGATTTATTTCACCTTCTTCTCCTGCAGAGGAGGAGGGAATTCGTTTCCTCCT